TCTCTCTCTCTCTCTCTCTCTCTCTCTCTCTCTCTCTCTCTCTCTCTCTCTCTCTCTCTCTAAAAATCATCTGTTCATTCTTAGTCTCATCTATTTTTTTGCCACTTGCCCCAAGCAGCACAAAGTATGAAATGTGGAGGTGCAGCAGCCATGTTACACCTCCTCTGGTCTGAGGATCCAGGCTACACGTGAGTTTATTTAGTGGAGCTGATAGCAACACTGTGATTTATGTCTGTTGTACTTCCTAAGAAAATAAGGCAGAAATAGCCTCGGCTAATTCCTCTTTTCAACAATTACTTTATTGTGATTTAATAAGCTAGTAGGCCTTTTTCTTTTTAGTCCAACAATTTCGGTAATACACTTGTTTGCTTATTTGGAGGATTGATAGAAGGATTGATCACATTCACATTTTAGGCCTTTATGCGTTGGTGACGTTAGCTTTAGTTTACCATATAGAATGGAAGCAGGAAGGAAACAGCTAGCCTGGCAAAAAGGAAAACAAATATCCAACCTAACATCACTCTAAACCCAAGTGTAAAATGTATTGTTGTCACCATGAAGTCGCAGGCAACCAGCTTGGACTCCAAGAAGTCACTGCATCTGGCCTAGAAATAGTCCAGCACATAACTCCTGCAAAATAACTTGCCTTTTACTGACAAAATACTATAATATGATACTATAATGTGTTAATTAGTTAGGTTAGAGGTGCTGTTTTCTTCTGATTCCAGTCTTTGTGGTGAACTAAGCTACAGGACAAATATAACAATGGTATCGATCTTCTCATCTGACTCTAAAGAAAATGATTTCATGACAGCGAATAATTTGGGTGAAACGATGTGGAAAATTTAGAAGTTGTTCAATTTCACCACTGAGCCAAGTGTGCCCTACAATCGGCGTGAAGATAAAGAAAAGCCAGAGTCGAGGTCTATTGGATATAATTGGAGACATTTGTCTTTTAAATACTTGGACCCATTTATGTCATCGCCATTTTGACACTAGCTTGGATTCAGAGGGCTTGACACATTTTATTTTTCTTTTACTTGGATTTTATTTTTAAAGTTGATGAAAGTTTCATTACAGCATATTTCAATCAGCTTAATTACCATTTGGATGGTATGATGATATGCAGATAGGGCTGAGTTCAACAGAGGAGAGTTTTGAAATCGTCAAAGAATCATCCAAAGAAGTTTGTTTTTTTCAACAAAGGTTCTCATGCACTCTCTGACAAACAAAGTAGGATACGAAGCAGCAGCAGCAGCAGCATGGTTATCGTCATTATAAACACTGAGCACATGTTCCAGTGCTGCTCTTTGTTTTGCATGAAGAACCCAGAATTGTCCCAGGCTTTTGTGGCACCCTAACAACATCCGATTATGAATCGTACCACTTAGGCAACATGCCCATTTTTACATAATCTGTGAACTGTGACCTTGCCTATCAGCCGCCAGGAGAGAGCGACAAAGAACGACAGAGTTAAGGTTACAAATCTTTCTTCTGATCTTGGTTTTGTTTGCCAATACGCCCCTTTAAATCTCCTCTACCTCTAATGAGAGCCTTATCTGGGAATAGATCACAAGCTTCTCTCTTTCTTTATTAACAAGGACATTAATAAACATTGATTATGGATTACGCAAAAGGATATTTCATTTTATTATAGTCCCTGGTTAAATGTGACATTGCTCACCTAATGAATAATATAAGATTTAAATTAAAACAGTTATAGAAGTCACTAGAAAGGGGAATATTAATGTAAGCAAAGATATCATAAAGGTTGATGCTGTGTTTGTCCTTTTTTTGCAACCTTGCATTGAATTATAGATCATCTGAAATGGAATATTTCTTTTCAAAAAATCACACTAACTGAATTCACAATTACTGGTAATGTTTGGTTTTGTTACTCAGAGTCAGCCCCAAGTTCATTGACTGATTCCGACACTTCTGAACCGACAGCTGTGTGAGTCTAAGATGGTCCCAGTGAGCTACCAAACACTTTCAGGGCATTTATTTTCTTTTTAAAGTGTGATGGTTTTACAGACACAATATTGTTTCAGATTCAAAGAATCCAAAAGTAACTCAAAAAACTTCACAGTTATAGTTAGAAACCATGTCCACTTTCTGTAATTTCATTAGAAAAACATTATCCGCGGAGGGTTTGATTCTCTGGAATACATTTTGTTGTTTCATCAGATAACATGGCATCAATATTCTCCACCAAAAGCATATGGTGACATTGAATTTGATTTCCATTGTCATTTAATTTATCTAAATTACAGCTGCTGATTTGATGCAAAACAGAGGTCCAAAGAAATGCAAGATATAGACGAAGAAAATGAGAGACTCAATGTTCCTGAAAGAAAGCCTTCAAGTTACTTCTCAGGAGATCGTGTGTGTGTGAGATCAAGAAGTTAAATTGGCTTGTTGCAGTAGTTCCCTGCCATGATCCTTTCTGGAGCAACAGTTGTTGTTTTTCCAGGCTCAGCATGAGCTCTGGAGATACAAATGAACCTCATGACATCTGTGATATCATACATTTTACAACAGTTCAAATTAACGCATTACATTTGATGATTGCTTTTTAATCTATGACATGTTTTTTGACCACTTGGGGGCAGGGGGAATAAACTCCAAGCACAACACATTATCGCCTTCGAAACTTTATAGCGCAAGCGTGGCTTCAAACAGTCGTACATTTACACACCCAGCAGGCAAACCAAGGATGCGCATGTCCATAGAAAAGTACTCAATCTCAAATGTTAGATCCAATCAGTTATGCTGCAATAGTTTGTAGATCCCTTCATTTTCTTCACCACCATGTCCTGAATTGTAAGTGTCTCTGTTGAACTTGCTACGTGGTACACACCTCTGGATGCAGGTGAATGTTTTGCAATGATTAGTGATGATGGAGGTGGTTTGAAGTCAGGGAATTGGCGGATGATGGCGGAGGGAAAAGGTGATGAGCAGATTTCATTCTGGTGAGCGAAGCGGGAGAGGTGATTGCAAACAGGTTTGCTGGTAGGCAGTCCAAGTGATTCGCAGGACAGAAACGACACACACACACACGCACACACACATTCACAGAGACAAGCCGTGCACATGGAAGACACAAGAAGAGTGTGAAACTAATTCCTACATTTTGGTTTGCTTTCTTAACTGTCAATGAGTGAAGACGATGACCGCACATTCAGTGGAATAAAAGGGACTGCGCTCTTGACAATCGACAGAAGCAACAAAACGCAATATTCACCTGCCAAATGCATTAAAAAGCTGTTGCATTTGATCAGTGCCAGTTAAAGCATTCAACGGCTCAGAGACAATAACGAGACCAGAGACACCACAAAAGGCCGGGGGTGTCCGCTCAGAAATAACAGAGTGAGCGAAAACAACCAAATTGAGTTTCACCAGGCATCAACCCTCACCATCTGCTGTGCAGTCCTACAGTTGAAAGGACGAATGTGCACAAACACACAAATATACACACGGACTAAAGCGGCTCGTTTCACTCAAAGCATCACAAAGGTGTTTAAGGATTAAAAAAAGAATGTTTATTGATGAGGAGTTTGTGAGCAGCTGGGAGGGCAAACCATTTGGCTTTCAGTTAAGAGACACAGTTGCAGTAATCAACATTTATGAAGTTCAAAGAGTTGAAAACAGGAACGATCTGATCTTATTCATCATCATGATTCAACCATTTCTTATATCTTTTCAGTGTTTTATTGTTACTGTGACAAAAACAATTCAAAGTCAAGTTATTTTATATGAATATCCACATAAATGTAGTTATTAAAGATTGAAAAATAAAAACCTAAATCATTTGCAATATGCTTATTATATTTTGGTTTTCATCAGCAGGTTTGTGTAGTATGGAGCCTTGAAACTGACTGAATATATTCTGAATATATCAATAAGTAATACTATAAGATAGATTATTCAAAACAAAGCCTGCAAATTTTTCTTTGACCTCCAATCAGCTGCTATTTATTTATTATTTTGTTCCTTCAGCACTAGTCAGTTGACAAAATGAATGTAATCTACATTTATGTCACCCTAGGCCTTTTTGTCTTTTCATGTTCTTGTTATTTTCTCATTTTGGGTTCCTGGATCAGGGTCTGTCTTCACCATAAAAGGCACACCCAACTCATACAAGCATTGGGAAAACTGGAAATGTGGTGATTGAAATAAGAAACGTTGCTTGGGGGATATGGGAAATAGATAAATGATTAAGAAGTATTTACACTCGTTTTAACCGGTTATTTTTGAAGAGGCTCAGTTTGTTTGGGGATATGTGAACACAGTAATTACTTTTGAATGCAACGCAATTGTCGTGAGAGTGTGTGGTGGTATGCACCCGTCAGAGCCTCTCTCCGATGGCGAACTCTTGAGGTGACACGTCTTTTAATAGGATACATCTGAATAGTTTTTTTTTTAACCACAAAAACGCAATCTACTTTCTTTCAGTTTTTTCATTTATTTTGCCAGCATAACGTATTAATTGTCCGAAAAAAATCAACAGAGCTACAGGTCAAAGTGCTACTTTAAGAACTTTCTCTCTCACACACACAAACGCAGTCCAGTTTCACTACGCTTGTTGGGAACTTGAGTGCATTCCCTCCCTCACCTGTGCATTTCATTGAAAACTTGTCTCAGTGTGTGAAGTTTTTTCTTCAAATAGCTGTTCAGTAGGGAGCATTGGTAGCCCTTTCAATTCATTTTGGGGGCAAACTAGCTCGAGGGACAAACTTTCTCTGATAATGTGACTTTGATGAAACAATTTCCATTAGTTTCAAACTAACAAAAAAACTTCTTCAGAAGAGTTTAAGTGTCAGAATAAATGTCTTTTATCTTATTAATGTATTCAAACTAAATGAGTCTAACTCATC